TGGTGTACAATACATTTTTTTTTCATGTACTGCACAATATAACCATCACATCCAATCAGGAAAATTTCCATCTGGTTTATAAGACTTGTTTCAGTTGTGAACAGCTTTTTTCATTTATTTTATTGAATCAGTTGGGTGAATGATTCAATGACTCACTCAAAGCCCACAAAAAGGCGCTTGTCGCCACCTACTGGAGTAAAGCAGAAATACACTTTATTCAGCTCACTGAAGCCTGTCCTCTGCTGACATCCACTCCAAACAGGCCTCTAGTCTCGTCCCAGCACCGCCAGTTGTGTCCCGACCTCACAGGGGCTCTGCTGAGATCACAGGAGGATCCTTTATTTTTCATTGGCCAACATTCGCAGGGCTCTTATTTAGGAATTTAACATCAGGCAGTCCTGAAGTGACACTGTGAGAAGGTGTACTATCATTTTTAAGTGAAACTGGTCTGTGGAAACAAGCAGTTTCCTTTTTGAGAGCTATCCAAAATCAAAGACAAGACTGGTCATATATTAGATTTAGGATTTTTAGATTTGTATTATGTAATGCAACATCAGACACTCCTGACACTGACTGAGTGGGACCCTGGGGTGCTGCACTGTTGATCTGAATTGAAACTGATCTGTGGAAACAGGGCGCTATCCGAAATCACAGAGAGAACAGGCAGAATGTGAGTTTTTGGAGGGCTTTTATTTTGTAATGGGACATCAGGCAGTGCTGGAAACGGGGAGGTTTTTTTTATAACTATATGAATTTACAGATAAAACGAGCTGTATACACTACAAGTTCACGAGAGGCTTTTATTTTGTTATTTCCCACCAGACAGTTATTTTGATATTATTTGGAAATTCTACATTTAAGCTCAACATTTGAAGTCATTTCCACGTTGTTGTTGTTGTTGTTTTTACATTTGCATTGTTTAATATTTGTTGTTGTTGTTGTTTATGTCTTTATTTGTGTGTTTTTATGTTAACTTATTTATTTATTAATTATTGACAGAGAAACAGCTGCATAAATGAAGGCCAGAGCTCTTTTAAACTGAGGATGCAGTGTTTCTCGCAGTCCTGTGGCTGCTGGGTCAGAAGTGTCCATCGGGTGCACGCTTCCGAATCTGGGCTGAAGCTGTAGGACATCCGGGGATTTCTCGCTTGTTCTTTTATGAATACCGAGGATTCGGACCACAGATATATATATACAGTATATACGGTCATATATACGATTCGGACACCCTCCTATCTTCATGCACCGTTTTCTCCTACTACATAGTAGGCAAGTATTGGGACACAACTGAAGTATATTCGCCTACTATACAGCAGTAGTATACAGTAGAAGTACACAGCAGTAGTACACAGCAGTAGTATACAGTAATAGTACACAGCAGTAGTACACAGCAGTAGTATACAGTAATAGTACACAGCAGTAGTATACAGTAATAGTACACAGCAGTAGTATACAATAATAGTACACAGCTGTAATATACAGTAATAGTACACAGCAGTAGTATACAATAATAGTACACAGCAGTAGTACACAGCAGTAATATACAGTAATAGTACACAGCAGTAATATACAATAATAGTACACAGCAGTAGTATACAATAATAGTACACAGCAGTAGTACACAGCAGTAGTATACAGTAATAGTACACAGCAGTAGTATACAATAATAGTACACAGCAGTAGTACACAGCAGTAGTATACAGTAATAGTACACAGCAGTAGTATACAATAATAGTACACAGCAGTAGTACACAGCAGTAGTATACAGTAATAGTACACAGCAGTAGTATACAATAATAGTACACAGCAGTAGTACACAGCAGTAGTATACAGTAATAGTACACAGCAGTAGTATACAATAATAGTACACAGCAGTAGTACACAGCAGTAGTATACAGTAATAGTACACAGCAGTAGTATACAATAATAGTACACAGCAGTAGTACACAGCAGTAGTATACAGTAATAGTACACAGCAGTAGTATACAATAATAGTACACAGCAGTAGTACACAGCAGTAGTATACAGTAATAGTACACAGCAGTAGTATACAATAATAGTACACAGCAGTAGTACACAGCAGTAGTATACAGTAATAGTACACAGCAGTAGTATACAATAATAGTACACAGCAGTAGTACACAGCAGTAGTATACAGTAATAGTACACAGCAGTAGTATACAATAATAGTACACAGCAGTAGTACACAGCAGTAGTATACAGTAATAGTACACAGCAGTAGTATACAATAATAGTACACAGCAGTAGTACACAGCAGTAGTATACAGTAATAGTACACAGCAGTAGTATACAATAATAGTACACAGCAGTAGTACACAGCAGTAGTATACAGTAATAGTACACAGCAGTAGTATACAATAATAGTACACAGCAGTAGTACACAGCAGTAGTATACAGTAATAGTACACAGCAGTAGTATACAGTAATAGTACACAGCAGTAGTATACAATAATAGTACACAGCAGTAGTACACAGCAGTAGTATACAGTAATAGTACACAGCAGTAATATACAATAATAGTACACAGCAGTAGTACACAGCAGTAGTATACAGTAATAGTACACAGCAGTAGTATACAATAATAGTACACAGCAGTAGTACACAGCAGTAGTATACAGTAATAGTACACAGCAGTAGTATACAATAATAGTACACAGCAGTAGTACACAGCAGTAGTATACAGTAATAGTACACAGCAGTAGTATACAATAATAGTACACAGCAGTAGTACACAGCAGTAGTATACAGTAATAGTACACAGCAGTAGTATACAATAATAGTACACAGCAGTAGTACACAGCAGTAGTATACAGTAATAGTACACAGCAGTAGTATACAATAATAGTACACAGCAGTAGTACACAGCAGTAGTATACAGTAATAGTACACAGCAGTAGTATACAATAATAGTACACAGCAGTAGTACACAGCAGTAGTATACAGTAATAGTACACAGCAGTAGTATACAGTAATAGTACACAGCAGTAGTATACAATAATAGTACACAGCAGTAGTACACAGCAGTAGTATACAGTAATAGTACACAGCAGTAGTATACAGTAATAGTACACAGCAGTAGTATACAGTAATAGTACACAGCAGTAGTATACAGTAATAGTACACAGCAGTAGTATACAGTAATAGTACACAGCAGTAGTATACAGTAGGGAAGTGTACGGGTCTCATGCGCTCGAGCGTCACGATGTTTAAGTCCCGCCCGTTCCGTTATTCCCCCTTTCCATCTCTCTCTCTTTCCCTCTCTCTCTCTCTCTCTCTCTCTCTCTCTCTCTCTCTCTCTCTCTCATCCTGCGTGTGTTACCGACGCCTGTCCCAGTCCCGTGAGCTCATCACCGGGAGCCGAGCGGAAGAAAGCTCCCACGATCAGGAAATACCGCTCAGACCCACCGCAGCTGCCGCTGTGCGCAGCCACTTCCTCCGTTAAACCGATTTTCACCGAGAGCAAAACATTTCTTGTTTGTGGAGGAGAGATGCGGGTGGTAAACAGTCCGGCCGAACCGCGAATCCAGTAACGGAGCACTGCAAGCCGCGGAGGGAACCGGAGAATCCTCATCATCTTCATCATCCTCATCATCCTCATCACGGCCCGCTGTTCCGGTGCAGCTGCTGACGTGAGTCTCCGGTACCGTGCGTGCGCAGCTGCTGGAGCAGGGTCTGGAGGCACGTTTGCACCCAGAAGTGAGCTAACCCTGACTAAACCTCTTTTAGGGACGTCCTCATTTCTAAAACACTATTTAAATTAAGTGTATATATATATGTATATCTAAAAAATGTTATGCAGAAAGTTTTCTGTTAGCGTTAGATAGTGTTTATAAATATCTGCATATATAAACAATGTAACAATGTAGATGGCTGAACAGAGACTGTGGGGGGCTTTCCAGGGATACTACTACAACCAGAAGTTTAATTCTGTCATCATTTGCTCACCCTCACGTCGTTCCAAATCTGTGTTTTTATTATATATATTTCTTTCTTTTGTTGAGCACAAAAGAAGATATTTTGAAGAATGTTGGTAACCTAATATTTGCCGGTAGCCATCGGCTTCCCTTGTATGGAAAAACACGCTATGGCTAGCGTAAAGTGTTTGGTTTCCAACATTCTTCTGAGTCTCTTCTTTTGTGCGCAGAAATCCCGAGTTTTGAAACATCTTGTCTTTGACTGAATGATGACAGAGTTTTTATTTTTGAGTGAACTGTCCCTTTAAGGAAAACTAGATTTTGTACGACTATCGAAACTGTTTATTTTTGTGTTTAATATTGACAGAGAAATGAATAGTTAAAAAAGTTTGAGTTTTTTTGTTTAGTAACCCACGAAATATGGTCACCATATGCAACCACTTTTTCATATTTCATACTTATTCCATACAACCAGCAAAACAGTGCCTCAAATCTCTCTCACGCTTGGCATTTTGTTATAGATTTTCTAAGAACTGTGGCATATTTTAATGGCATGTATCTTGCAGCTGCACTATTTCTACAGGCTCAGCATCCTTCTCTTCTGCCAGACCAGCAGACTTTTGCAGGACATTGTTAGCCAGCATGTGCCTTTATTCTGTAGATCATGAAGACTTCTTAAAACCGTAACAAGTCTTCTGTCTCAAAATCAACAGGTGTTTAGGAAAGTTCTGTGATGGTGTTTGTTGCGGGAAAATACAATTAAAAAGGGCATTTTGCTACAGCAGGACTTTATTCGTACCTTGTTAAAATTTGAACAAAATATGTATTTATAATTAAATTAATGAGCTTTTTTATGAGTAGAGTTTATATAGTAATTAAGAACAATAGAATTAAGTGGAAATCACCATTTAGACAGCCAGATAGACATGTGTGTGTGTGTGTGTGTGTGTGTGTGTGTGTGTGTGTGTGTGTGTGTGTGTGTGTGGGAGAGGGTGGGTGTGTGGGGGTGTGTGAGGGTGTGAGTGAGAGAGTGTGTGTGTGTGTGTGTGTGTGTGTGTGTGTGAG